CCAACAGACCCTCACAATACGTTTGGGTCTGCCGAGTCTGTCCAGCTTCCTCCCCCACCATCGGATCCAGCTCACCACCAGGTGGTGATCAGTTGACAGCTCCACCCCTCTCTTCACCCGAGTGTCCAAGACATATGGCCGGAGGTCAGATGAAACAACCACAAAGTCGATCATCAACTTCCGGCCTAGGGTGTCCTGGTGCCATGTGCACTGATGGACACCCTTATGCCTGAACATGGTGTTCGTTATGGACAAACTGTGGCTAGCACAGAAGTCCAATAACAAAAAACCACTCGGGTTCAGATCGGGGGGGCCGTTCCTCCCAATCACGCCCCTCCAGGTGTCACTGTCGCTGCCATCATGAGTGTTGAAGTCCCCAACTAACTAATCAACATCATGCTATTAATATATATTATATTAAAAAGGCAAAGTTAGTGGTGAGCCAGTGGTCTTTAAATATCTTTTATTTAATTACATTTAGGGCTGCAGCATATTATTTTCATTCAGTGATAAATCCACTTATTTTTTTTTCTCAAATAATCCATTGGTCTCCTAAATGTCAGAACTGTTCTTCACATTTTCAAAGAGCTCAACATAATGTCTCCAGATATCTTGTTAAATCTGACTGACAGTCCAGAAATATCACATGGACAGTCAGAAAAGGTTCCTATTTGTGAAGCGGAACCAGCCCATTTAACCATTTAAAATGACTGAAATGATTAAATTTCTGATGACTGACTAATCAAAATATTGATTCAGCTCTAACAACAATGCATGTAAATAATTTCACAACATTTCTTTTTTACTATGAGCTACAGTTTCCTACTATTTTCTATAACATTTTTGTTTACCAATACAGGTTTAAAGGTCCAATAACACTGCCTTTCTTGTAAGTGACTTGAGCCCAAAAGCTATTAATACTGCGGCTTTGTAGGATCACAACTAAAATGTTCTCACACCAGTGGGACTGCAGTAGTAGTGTATAACAGATCCTAATGCATCTGCAGGGGGTTGACGGACTTGTTGATCAATAGCAACGACTCAGTTCAGCTTTTTGCAAAGTTGATTCTGCCAAGAATACACTTTTGAAACAAGACTTTTCATCCATTGGGATTATAAATCAAAATACCCACCCCCTCACAGCAATCTATGAAAGCTAATATGATTTTACAGATTGATCTGTCAGTAATGCTAGTCAGTTTCTCTTTACTAGTTTACTGTTCTCTCCTGGGAAACTGTGACTTTATCATCTGTCTAAATTACAGGCTACTGTAGCACAGGATGAAGGGGGGTTGTGAGGAATGGGTGTGCAGTCGGAGGCAATTTCCTCTTGTGTTGTTGTAGCCTGATCACCAGTAGAGGTCACATATATCTTACGACCCCTTTAACTAGAATTCAGCCCCGCAGAAAAGTGTTAAAACCCCAAATTCACGAACATACAGAAAATTTCCCTTCATTGCTGAAGGTGCAATATCCATTCTCAACACACTGTGAGAAAAACTCTGGGGCTTGACAGTCCATTTGACTGTTTTCACAACAGTCATAGTTAAGGATGTTTCACAGCTTCGTGGCCCTAAAACAGTGCCACTGTGGATTTCTACTGCCTGATCTTGTTATTATGCCTGAGCTTCGGCATCTCTTTGAGGGTGAACTCTGTCACTCTGAGTTATGCTTGGCGTCTGGCATCCGGCCAGCAGGCATTGCCTCTTAAAAATGAGTCCTTTCAGTCTCTTAGCTTTATATAATCCCATTGACAAGTCAATCCAATCCAATATTACCATACAATATTATTATATTGCTGTGTCTGCAAAATATTATCTGTTACTAAATTATTATTTGTGAGGTTGGGTTGTCCTACTTAAAAGTGTGTATGAATTATATCAGTTTACATAATACAACCTTTGAATGGTTGAATGTAAAACATTAATTTGCATAATTTTATTTGTATGCGTTGTCAGTAGAGTGTGAGTCATGTGTCTTTTTCCCTGTGTTTTGACTGGAAGGCTTTTGCCTGCTCTAAGAGCCAAAAGAGTTCAAGCTTACTATGTCATTTGGTGTTTGTTAATGAAAATTACATCAGCTTTATAAATGATTTTCAAAGTGACAGTGCCGCACAGTTGTACCCTAGTCGCGGGGACACAATGTGCAGGTCTTTCACGAATGAAGAGAATAACAGTTGATTGTGGGCTGAAGAGAGGAACGAGCTACGGTTCAGCTCCACAACCTAAGTGCAAAGCTGGCACAGCGTGTCGCCTGCAAGTTAATGTAGGGCTGCAAGTGAATAAAAGCCTCTTGTTCTGGAATCTGTTTAGAAATATGTCATGATGAAGATCTTACATTCAGTGCCAGACTCTGACACAGAATTTGCAATTGAGCCCCACATGACAAATGGCTTCATTCATTCATTTAGCAAATGCAGTTTTTAAAAATCAGTTCAATTTTCATGACAGGTTCAGATATATAATTCACAAACAATAACTACTGGCATAAATTTCTTTCTATGCAATCTAAATGAGAAACAGAAAATGGAATCATTTGCAGTTACGCAATTTTTTCCTTGACAGAGGCATTCTGTACCCAGGAGTGCATACAGGCTGGCAACATTTGCTGGCTGTCACAATCCCTCCATGATTTGTCTTGAGCTTTTTAATGGCATACTTAATCATATCCTCATATCCCAGGTCACTGCCCCTTTTTCTAAATCGTGCACGGACCACAAATTGTATTCTATGGCCTCTGGGAATAACTATGGTGAGAGGAGGACTTAGCGTGCCAATAACTATTATCATGTCCGGCAGCGATATGAAGTAATTGCCCATTCCCTCTGCTGTTTACTGCTTACCAATGGCATGCCATGGGAGCTGCAGCAAGGCCCAATTAGATTTGAAGGACATAAACAA